CCCCGTGTCTCCAATAGGCTCTGGGAATGGCTCTCGGGGCTGGGGGGGTTTCAGCGCGTGCCCTCCCCAGCTCATCGGCTCGGAGCAGTGCCTGCTGCGCATCGAGCGCATGGTCAGCGAGGCCAAGAGCAAGGCCGGGGCCGACCCCCGCGTCCCCCTCCTCTCACTGGTGAGAGCCCCCGGTGCCCTCCCTGGGGATGGGTCCTCCATGGGTCCCCCCCCCAGCCCGCGGTGACCGGGCCCCCCTCGCTGCCCCACAGGGGCTGTCCCTGAGCGGGGGGGACCAGGAGGCCGCCATCGGGAAGCTGCTGGAGGAGCTGCACCGGCGCTTCCCGCACCTCAGCCGCAGCTTCTCCATCACCACCGATGCCGAGGGGGCCATGGCCACCGCCACCGACCGCGGTAGGGGGGGACGGGAATGGGACATGGGGGGGGGACGCACACATGGGGGTCCCCATGGGCTTGGACCTCGCAGGCGGCATCGTTCTGATCTCGGGCACTGGCTCCAACTGCAAACTCATCAACCCCGATGGGTCGGAGACCGGCTGCGGCGGCTGGGGCCACATGATGGGGGATGAGGGCTCAGGTGAGGCCGGGGGGGGCACATGATGGTGGTGATGGCGGTGGTGGTGGTGGTGGTGGTGGTGGTGGTGGTGGTGGTGATGCTGGTGGTGATGCTGGTGGTGATGCCGGTGATGGTGGTGGTGATGGTGGTGGTGATAGTGGTGGTGATGATGGTGGTGGTGATGATGGTGATGGTGGTGATGGTGGTGGTGGTGATGGTGGTGGTGATGATGGCGGTGATGGTGGTGGTGGTGATGGTGGTGGTGATGGTGATGATGATGGTGATGGTAGTGATGATGGTGGTGGTGGTGGTGGTGATGGTGGTGGTGATGATGGCGGTGATGGTGGTGGTGATGGTGGTGATGGTGATGCCGGTGATGGTGGTGGTGATGGTGGTGATGGCGATGATGATGGTGGTGGTGGTGATGGTGATGGTGGTGGTGATGGTGGTGGTGATGGTGGTGATGGCGATGATGATGGTGGTGGTGGTGATGGTGGTGGTGGTGATGGTGGTGGTGGTGATGCCGGTGATGGTGGTGGTGATGGTGGTGATGATGGCGGTGATGATGGTGGTGGTGATGATGGCGGTGATGGTGGTGGTGGTGATGGTGGTGGTGATGGTGGTGATGGTGATGCCGGTGATGGTGGTGGTGATGGTGGTGATGGCGATGATGATGGTGGTGGTGGTGATGGTGGTGGTGGTGATGGTGGTGGTGGTGATGGTGATGCCGGTGATGGTGGTGGTGATGGTGGTGATGATGGCGGTGATGATGGTGGTGGTGATGCCGGTGATGATGGTGGTGATGATGGTGGTGGTGGTTGTGGGGGGGTCTCAGCCACAGCCGGCTCCCTCCGCAGCGTTCTGGATCGCGCACCGGGCGGTCAAGGTGGTGTTTGACAGCATGGACAACCTGGAGGAGCCCCCCCACGACGTGGGATACGTCAGGGACGCCATGCTCGACTACTTCCAGGTGCTGGGGGTCCTCAGCTGTGTCACAGGGTCCTGAGGGGGCGGTTGGGCTTCATCCCATGGGGCCTGGTGGGTTCCAGGCTGGGTGCTGGGGTCTTGGGGGCTCTGGGCTGGATCCTGGGGGGGGGTCTTGGGATGCTCCAGGCTCTGTGCTGGGGTCTGGGGGGGGGCTCCATGCTCAGGGCCCTTTGGGGGTTCTGAGCTGCGTGTCAGGATCTGGGGGGCTTTGGGCTGCGTGATGGGGTTCAGGGGGGCTTAAGGCTGGGGGTCATGGTCGGTGGGGGGGGCTCTGGGCTGGGTCCTGGGGGGGGTCTTGGCTGTGTCCCAGGGGTCCACGGGGGGCTCTGGGCTGCGTGCTGGGGGGGTCCTGTTCACACACCGTGTTTGGGGGTGCCGGGGGGGGGTGTTTCACAGTGTACCCCCATCACCCCCCCAGATCCAGGACAGGACGGGGCTCCTGCCCCATCTCTACCGCTCCTTCCAGAAGGCCAAGTTTGCAGGGTTCTGCCAGAGGCTGGCGGAGGGTACGGATAAAGGGGGGGGGTGAAGAGCAATGGAGGGGGGGTCCCGTGTCCCCCATCACCCCATTGCCCCCCCATCCCCAGGCGCTCAGGCTGGGGACCCGCTCTGCTGCCACCTCTTCCAGCAGGCCGGGGCGGTCCTGGCCCGGCACGTGGCCGCGGTGCTGCCCAAGGTGCACACGGTGAGAGCAGCATGGGGGGGACCCGAAGGGGGCAGGGGGGGAAATGGGGTGTCCAGAGCCAGCCCTCACCTCTGTACCCCCCCAAAGAGCCTGTTCCAGGGGGAGCTGGGGCTGCCCATCATCTGCGTGGGCTCGGTGTGGAAGAGCTGGGACAGGATGCAGGAGGGTGAGTGGGGATGCACTGGGGTGTGTGTGGGGTGCTGCTGCCCCCATAACGCGTGTGCCCCCCCTTTAGGGTTCATCCAGGTGCTCACCCAGGCGCGGGGGGGCGCTGCGGGACGCGGCTTCTCCCGGTTCAGCCTCCTGAAGCTGAAGCGCTCCTCGGCGCTGGGGGGGGCCCGGCTCGGCGCCCGCAGCATCGGAGCGGCTCTGCCCCTGGACTGTGCCGCCAACGTGGATGTCTTCTACAGCCACAGCTTCCAGTGACCCCCCCCGGGCGGGGAACGCGGTGGTTGGGCAATAAAACGGTTGCAACATCCAAAGGGAAATGGGGAAGTGGGGGGGGGAATGGGCACGGTGGGGCTGGGGGAGGATAGGATGGAGAACAGAGCACGGGGGTTCCTGTTTCGGTGCCCAAGGAGGATGGGCTCCGTGGCTGTGGGGCTGGGGTGATGCTCAGGGGCAAGTGGAAGGAGGATGCTGTTGGGATTGAACATGGAATCGGGATGAGGGCCAGCCCCAACGCCTTCCACTGGAGCAGCTTGCTCCAAGCCCCTGTGTCCAACGCTGCCAGGGATGAGGCAGCCACAGCTTCTCGGGGCACCCTGTGCCAGCGCCTCAGCACCCTCACAGGGAAGAGCTTCTGCCTAAGAGCTCAGCTCAGTCTCCCCTCGGGCAGGTTAAAGCCATTCCCCTTGGCCTGGCCCTACATCCCTTGTCCCAAGCCCCTCTCCAGGTCCCATCTCCCCTGGCTTTCACATCTTACATTCCATGTCCTTGGTGCCGAGGCTCTGACCAGGCACAAACTGCCATGGGGCCGGTGCTTGCTGCTGTCCTTACCAGTGTGCTCCTGGCCAGGACCACCCCATCCGATGGAGCTGGAGCTGAACAGGGACCTCAGAACCCGCCTCTGCTCCCTTCCCAAACAGGTTTATTTCTAACAAGGCCTTTCCCAAATGTACAGCACAGGGAGGGGGGGGGTGAGCAGAAACCAAACAGAAACCAGAGAAAGGGTGGGGGGAATCTGTGCTAGCGCTGCAGGAGAGAGCCCAGCCGGGGGCTGCCCTTCCCTGCACCCATCCCATCCCCGCAGGCTCCATCCCGGCCGCTGCAGGCCCAGCGTTGTGCCAGCCCAAAGCACCCCTGTGGTGGAGCTGGGCACCCGCTGCTGCAGGCTCCTGGGGCAGGCAGCAGCCCCGCGGGGATGAGGGCTGGAGCTGGGGTACCCATGGAGCGCCGGAGCTCCATCAGCTCAAAGCTCTGCTCACTCTTAGTTCCGGTCCAGCAACCCCAGGAGCTAACGGAGCTGAACGAGGCCGAGGGCTGCGGAGAGGCCATTAGCTTCCATGTCCTCAAATCCCACAGGGATCCCTAATCCCGCTCCATTAACGGCCCTGTGCAGTCCAGGGAATGCTGGAATCAGGCGGGCGGTGAGACCCGCACGGGGGAGCAGCAGCTCCTGCCTGGGTTACTGGAGCCAGAACTCGGAGTCATCCCTCCCCAGGGAGCTCTGGAGTTCCCTGGATACAGGTTCCTGCCCCTGGCTTCCCAAAGGAGCACCCGGGTGGTGGTTGAGGAGCTGAAGCCCAACCAGATCCTGCCCAAGGGGAAGGAGGGGAACTGGAAACGGGATGAGCTCTAAGATCTCTTCCAATCCAAACCATTCCAAGACTCGGCTTGCAGAGGACCCCTCTGTTCTCCCAGGGCAGCAGCTCCACACCAGCTCCCTCCTGGTCTTGCTGGGATTTGCTTCCAAGGTATAAATGCTCCAGAGCTGCAGCTCATCCTGTGGACAAGCTCCAGATCTCGGGGGTGGGAATCTTTAAGGAGAAGCTGTGTTTTCCAGGAGCTGCCCTTCCCTTGGGATGGATAGAGGGAGGGATGGAAGGAGGGATGGAGGGAGGGATGGAGGGAGGGAGGGATGGAAGGAGGGATGGAGGGAGGGATGGAGGGAGGGATGGAGGGATGGGGGAGGGAGGGATGGAGGGAGGGATGGAGGGAGGGAGGGATGGAAGGAGGGATGGGGAGGGATGGAAGGAGGGATGGAAGGAGGGATGGAAGGAGGGATGGAGGGAGGGAGGGATGGAAGGAGGGATGGAGGGAGGGATGGAGGGAGGGAGGGATGGATGGAGGGAGGGATGGATGAAAGGAGGGATGGATGAAAGGAGGGATGGAAGGAGGGAGGGATGGAAGGAGGGAGGGATGGAAGGAGGGAGGGATGGAAGGAGGGAGGGAAGGATGGCTCTGCTCTTCCCTAAGAGCTCCCCCAAGCCATGAAGCAGTGCAGGAGTTAGTGTTCAGAGAGCGGCTGGGATGCGTTTGGGATTCACACTCCCACCTCCCCTTCCCTTCAGCCAAGGGAATCCCGTGTCCCGGGAGCAGGGAATGCCAGCGTGGGCCCTGGGGTGGCTTCGCTGCCTCTGGGGAGGGTACAGGGGGATCCCTATGAATCCTACTCAAACAAGGTGATGGGTTTGGAGCGCACGCGGAAATGGGCTTGGGAAGCAGAGGGAAGCGCTGGGCTCCAGGATAGACCTAAAGGCCAGGAGTCCTGGGAAGCAAAACCTGCCCCCAAAGGTGATAAATGATACAAAGGAGGAGGTAAAAAAGAAAACTGGAGGGGGGAAAGAAGGGACCTGAAGCATAGAGGAAGATTCACCACGTGGCAGCGGCTCCGCGCAGTGCAGAGTCCAGCTGGGGGCTGCTCCGCTCCCTCCATCCCCATCACATTCCCAAAGCAGGGATACAGTCCTTCCAGAGCCTGCCGGGGTGCTCAGTACTTCACGCCAGGCACAAACTCCTTGGCATCTGGATTCAAGTTGCTTTTGCTCTGGAAGAGAAGATGGAGAGGGATCATCAGGGGTTCAAACGCTGGGATCCCCACACCAGCATCATTCCATAGGAACCTGCGTGCTGAGGATGGTGCCATGGATGTGACGTGGCCCTTGTGTCATCACAGACCTGGGGATGGGGCTGAGCAAGTGCCAGCTCCAAGGGATCTACTCCCAGAGTGGGTTTTGAAGGGGAAACACAGGAGGAGGTGGTGGCTGTGTCTCCCAGTTCTTGCTTTGGCACAGGGATGGGTTTGCTCCAGGACCAGTCTGTTTCCATGGAATCCCAGCCTGGTTTGGGTTGGAAGGGACCTTAAAGCTCCTCCAGCTCCAACCCCTGCCACGGGCAGGGACCCCTTCCACTGGAGCAGCTTGCTCCAAGCCCCTGTGTCCAACCTGGCCTTGAACACTGCCAGGGATGGGGCAGCCACAGCTTCTCTGGGCACCCTGTGCCAGCGCCTCAGCACCCTCCCAGGGAAGAGCTTCTGCCTAAGAGCTCATCTCAGTCTCCCCTCGGGCAGGTTAAAGCCATTCCCCTTGGCCTGGCCCTACAGGCCCTTGGCCCAAGCCCCTCTCACCCCACTGCCGCCCAGGAGCCCCCCAGGATCTCCACCCCACCACGCGGGCCAGGTCCTGTGCCCACACTGACCTCCCAGCACGTCCCTCATGCTCCTTACCAGGATGTCCTCTGAACTGTGGCCATCGCACACCGAGAGCCCGTTGAGCTGCTGCTGCAGCTGCCCCATGCCCTGGGGCAGGTCCCGCGATGGGATGAACCAGTCCTGGTCCTCCTCCTCCAGCATCTCCTGGAAGCAGCGGTCCAGGAACTCCTGCTCCTGCAGCTCCTCCTCCACCTGCCCGGAGAGAGGCGTCAGTCACACCTTGGGAAGGGGCTGTGGCCAGGGGGAATGGCTTGAACCTGCCCCAGGGGAGACTGAGCTGAGCTCTTAGGCAGAAGCTCTTCCCTGGGAGGGTGCTGAGGCGCTGGCACAGGGTGCCCAGAGAAGCTGTGGCTGCCCCATCCCTGGCAGTGCTCAAGGCCAGGTTGGACACAGGGGCTTGGAGCAAGCTGCTCCAGTGGAAGGGGTCCCTGCCCGTGGCAGGGGTTGGGACTGGAGGAGCTTTAAGGTCCCTTCCAACCCAACCCAAGCTGGGATTCCAGGATTCTGTGACTTCCCGTCTCCCCCACCCCATGTTTGTGCTGGGATCGCCCCGTTCCACTCTCAGGAATGGAGTTTTCCACCGGGATCAAGGGGCACCCACTGCAGGAGCTCAGTGCTGACCCATCCAGGCTACAAACCCTCTCAGACTCCAGGCACTGGTGGTCAGGCTGCTCCTCTCCCTCCAGCTGAGCACACACCAGGGGGAGCTCTGGATTACCATGGCAAAGCCCATCAGAAGATGATGGAGCCATCCCCATCCCTCTGGGAAAGAGCTGCCCAGAGGCACAGGGAGGGGTTTATTCCAACTCCATCCATCCCACGTCCTTACAGGCAGATCCGACACTGCGGCAACGAGGCCCTCAGTGCCTTGGCAGTGCTGGGGAAGGGTTGGACTGGGTGAGCTTCAAGCTCTTTTCCAAGCTGCTTGATCCCACGACACAAACGGGATGAGTTCCCTCGAGCCAGCATCCCCGTGCAGACACATTCCATGGCGCCCACCAAGGGAATTCCCTCTGGCCCCTCAACTCCATTGCACGGAGCTGGCACCACCCTCCAGGCCTTACCTGCCTGTTGAAGTCTTCTTCGTTCTCCATCCACATGTACTCTGCAAAGGGGTTGTTCTCCTTCTCATCGTGGCCGTTCACTACCTGCTCCTCTTTGGATTTGGGGCTGGATCCCGTCGGGCTGCCGAGCTCGGACCCATTCATCATTATGGACTGTGGGGAGGAGAACACGGGGGTGAGGACCCTGCCCCTGTCCCCCACCCATGCCAGCTTCCAGGCTCCTGTCTTCAAGGCTTTTCCCAGCTCCTTTCCCTCCTCCCTAGTGCTGGCAGCAGCAGGACACCCCTGGCACCGACAGCCCTTCTCCTCCATGGGTTTCACCCATCAGGGAGAGCTGTGACCAGGGCTTGGGAAGGCTCCAGCATCCCAAACCCATCCCAGCATCCCATCCCCTTGCAACCCGCCACAAAGCACACCCAAAGGCCACAACTGGGGTGTCCCTCAGCCAACCCTATAGCACCACAGCACCAGAGTGCTCCCTAACCCCAAACACTCCAGTTCTGGCAGAACATCACACATGTCCCTTCATTTCTGCCATAATTCCCTGGGTTTTAGAGGGAATTTCCCTAAATCCCTTTGGTTTGTGACATGGAGGTGGCCTTCTCCTAAAGGAGATCTTTAGAGCCACAGTACCATGGCTTGAAGCAAGAGAGACCCTATGGGATCCCAAACCTCAGCTTTTGGAGGGTTCTCAGGAGCAGACGGAGGGAAGGATGCACAGACTGAGAAATGAGACAGAATTCCATAGGAAAAACCTATGGAATAGGCAAACACTGACTAAGGCCAACACAACGTGGATGAAAAGCATGGACACAACACATTAGGACATCCCAGCTCTATGCTTTAACCTCCCTGGTGCAGGATTCATCTGGAGCTGAGCTGCATCCAGCTCCAGCACAGCGCTGGGATGAACTGGAGAGGAGAGCATCCTGCAGGAGAGGGGCTGGAAAACGGGAATTCCCAGGGGAAAAAGGGGGGTGGTTTGGTCTCAAGGAGGGGGAGAGCCCGGGAGCCCCCCCCCCCAACAGCCTTTAGGTTTAGAGGAATCATGGAATGGTTTGTGTCCAACCTGGCCACAGCTGAGCACAGGGTTACGGTCCCTTCCCACCCAAAGCATCCCATGTGCAGGTACAAACCCTTCCTACGCTGTGTTTTGGGGAGCAGAAGGGCCATGGACACAGCTGGGAGCAGAGGAGATGGTGCCTGGGGCCGGTGGCTCCGGGCTCTCCGTGCCCCCTTTGGGATCGGGGGAAGCTGGAAGCAGAGCCCTGGATGGGGATCTGCTCTGTCCCACCTGCAGAACCCGTCCTGCCGGAGGAGCCGTGATGAAAGCCCTGCTGCTGCTGCTGCTGCTGCTCACAAAGCCATCAGGGACGCGGAGCCAAGCCTGCCTCAACCCTTTCATGGCCCTGCTCCCAAACCGCAGCACCCACAGCTCCCCACCGCCGTGGGGCCCGAGTCACCCGCAGCAAACACAGCGGGAAAACCCCCTGGCTGGGGAGGAGGAGCTGCCGAGCTCACATTGCTTCCCCATGGGTCACTCCTCTGGACCACCTCCAGCCCATCCGCAGCATCCTTGTGCAGCAGGGACCAAACCTGATCCCGGGATTGGGGCGGGGGGGCACAGCGACACCTTCATCCCTATGGGGATGCCCTTGTTGATGTTCACCAGCATCCTATTGCCTTGAGCTACTGCAGCAAAGGCAGAGACAAGCCCAGGCTCCAGTGGGATGGATGCTGCTCCCCTCCCAGCCTTTCGGAGCTCGTGGAGGCTCTGAGAGGTCCATGATGTGTCTTGGTGCCCTAGCCAGGGCTGGATGCTTAGGAACTGCTCCTGGAACTCCTGGGAGAGGCTTGATCCCTGCAAAGGGCCTTAATTCCCACCAGGGCAGTCATTTCCCTGTGGATTTTCCCTATCACTTTCATCCTCCACCTCCCCTGTTAATTTAAGCCGTTCCCAACCTTCCCGAGCCATTCCTGCTGCAGCCAGAGGTTTCCAAACAGCCCCCAGCTCCTTCCCCACGTGCATTTTCCAGCCTGGCTCAATGGATGCTCTGGCCTGGGTGGTGTTTCTCTGACTCAGCTCCATGGAATATGCATGGAGCCAGGGGAATTCTGCTGTACTGCTGGGGCTGCAGAGCGCCAGCTCTGAGCGGGATTGAGGAATCTGCTGCCTTGTAACGAAGGTTTCTTGGATTTCTTCCTCTTTTCCCTTGGAAAATGGAGCAGATGATAAAAACAAAGGAAAAGAAGCTTCGAGATGGGGAGGGGAGCTCAGCATCCTCATCCGGAGCACACAAAGCACCTCTAGGAGCTGCTCATCCCCTTTGGGAGCACGGAAATCCCGAGGAGCTCCATGGAGCTGCGGCCCACGGAGGTCCCTGCTCAGCCTGCACCACCATCTCCTGCTTGCCCCATGCTCCCACACTCACCTGGGGCTGGAAGAGCAGCCGCAGAGGGAGGCATCCTTTGGGATAGGTACGGAACAACGTGAAAGGGGAATGCCGCCTCCGTCTGGTGTCTGGGTGATGCTCAGAGACAAGCACCCCATGGCTACAGCCTGGCCTTGAGCACTGCCAGGGATGGGGCAGCCACAGCTTCTCCATTCAACCCCTTTCAGTGTCCTCCCACCTTCCTTGTATCCCATCCAACTCTTCCCTCTGGCAGGTTAAAGCCATTCCCCTTGTCCTATTCCTTCATCCCTCATCCCAAGCCCCCCTCCAGGTTTCCCGGAGCCCTTTAGGCACTGGAGCTGCTCCATCCCAGGGGCAGGACCTTACACTTTTAGATGCAAGAAGGGCAGAAGCTTCATGGACCAACCTCACACAACTGAGGAATTCCTGAAGGGAAAACCCTCCACGGGTCCCGCATTGGGCTGGTTTCACCCCTTGGAGCATCCCAAGTGTGGCAGGAGCCACGTTCCTGCCCTTATCCCAAAGAGTTAAGAGGGAGCGGGAGCAGAGCTGCGTGCTTGGCTCAGGCAGGGCCATCCCGACCTCCGCATCCTCCCAGAGCCAAAACCTCAGCAGAGGCTGCTCCAGCAGCTCCGAGATGGGGAAAACTGCCCAGGCAGGGCTCCCGGCTCCAGGAATAGCTCCGGGAGCAGGAAAACCCACCCGGAGCAAGGCAGGCTGCAGGGAAAACACCAACCAGAGCACGGAGCCAGGCTGGATGGGGCCTGGAGCATAAAGAAACCTGGAGAGGGGCTTGGGACAAGGGATGTAGGGACAGGCCAAGGGGAATGGCTTTAACCTGCCCGAGGGGAGATGGATGGGGTACAAGGAAGCTCATGGATGAAGGTGGAGGGGCACTGGAAGGGGTTGAATGGAGAAGCTGTGGCTGCCCCATCCCTGGCAGTGCTCAAGGCCAGGCTGGACACAGGGGCTTGGAGCAAGCTGCTCCAGTGGAAGGGATCCCTGCCCGTGGCAGGGGTTGGGGCTGGATGAGCTTTAGGGTCCCTTCCAACCCAAACCAGGCTGGGATTCTCTCTGTGCCCTTTCCCAGCTCTCCTCCTCCCTCCCTGCCCCACAGCTCCCAGGAGGATCATGGATGGGTGTGAACTCAGCCTCCCCCCCGCAGCACTTTGGCTTCAGCATCACTCACATTGCAACCTGCAGGTAATTCCTAAGAAGAAACCCAGTCCCCCCCCATCCCCAGTGCAGAAACTCCCCATAGCAGAGAAACTGGAGCACGAGCAAACTGGTCCCCAGCCCGCAGGCCAGGAGGGATGGATCAGGGGGACAAGGAGGGGGGAGAAGAGGGCTGGACCTTCCCTGCAGGCCACCCCTCTGCTCCTGCAGGCAGCAATGAGAGAAGGGAGCTCATCGGCCTCATTTCCCAAGGGAATGACAGGGTTCTCCTGTGTCAGCTCACACACATCCTCCTCCTCCTCCTCGTGTTCCACAGGTTGGGCCGGTTCAGCCCCACTTCCACCTCCTCCTCTGCCCACCTGCAGCCTTTCCCGTGCCCTGATCTCCCTTTGCAGATAAGCTCCCTGCAATTCCAAGCCCAGCTGCACCTTTTCCCTCTCCCCAGCATTCCCAAGCTTCTCCTTCCCATTATTCCAGTGCCTCAGGTTTTATTCCCCACCACCATCACCGGAGCACGGACCTGGAGCCCTGCTGCAGCCTTTGGGAGTCTCCCACTGCTCCCACCACTTCCAGCCCCACCAACAGCGGATGCCAGCTCTTCCAGGGCTATGCCACGTTAGGCTGCCCTCCTGGCATCCCTCCTCCTGCTCCCTGGCCTGCAGCAGATGCGGAGCTCCCCATACGGATCTCCCTCGGTTGCTGAGGAACCGCATCCGTCTCCAAGCCAGGGGATAATCTCATCCTGCTCTGCTTCAATCTGCATCCACAGGAACAATCCCCACTTCCCACAGGCAAAAAGTGCTGCGAAGGCCCCGGGAACATGGAATGCTGCCGGTGCTGGGGCCTGGAGATGCTCACAGACCTGATTTCCCTTTCAGCATCAACACTCCCCCTTCTTTGAGCTGAGCATCAACTGAACACAGGCGTTATCAGTGTTGGTCTCAGAGGGAAGCCAAAACAGCCTTGGAGCAGAGAGCAGGGACAGAACGAACTCCATCCCAGCTGGAACAAGGACAAACTCCTCCAGCCCCAACCCCTGCCACGGGCAGGGACCCCTTCCACTGGAGCAGCTTGCTCCAAGCCCCTGTGTCCAACCTGGCCTTGAGCACTGCCAGGGATGGGGCAGCCACAGCTTCTCTGGGCACCCTGTGCCAGCGCCTCAGCACCCTCCCAGGGAAGAGCTTCTGCCTAAGAGCTCATCTCAGTCTCCCCTCGGGCAGGTTAAAGCCATTCCCCTTGGCCTGGCCCTACATCCCTTGTCCCAAGCCCCTCTCCAGCTTTCCTGCAGCCCCTTCAGGCACTGGAGCTGCTCTAAGGGCTCCCCCAGCCTGTCCAGCCCAGGGGCAGGACCTTGCCCTTGGCATGGTTGAAATCCATGAGGTTTCCACCTCTCCAGCGTGTCCGGGTCCTGCTGGATCCCATCCCTTCCCTCCAGCGTGTGGGTCACCCCACGCAGCTCCGTGCCAGGGCAAGGCAGGGACAGGGAGAACTGAGGGCTCTGCACTCCACAGGAGCAGCTTTACCTCTGTCTGCACCGAGGCCCAACACGGGGGCACCGCATTCCCTGTAGGCACATCCCAGGCTTCACCCCACCGCTTATCCTCCACGCAGGCCTGGGGAAGGGAAGCACAGAGCGGCCAACGGGGACAGGGCATCCATGGCGATTCAAGCTGTGTTTTGGGAGCAACACCAGCTCTTGCTGCTCCCAGAGAAGCTCCATCCCTGGCAGTGTTGGACACAGGGGCTTGGAGCAAGCTGCTCCAGTGGAAGGGGTCCCTGCCCGTGGCAGGGGTTGGAGCTGGATGGGCTTTAAGGTCCCTTCCAACCCAAACCATCCTGGGATGATCCCAAAGGAAGCACGGGCACTCCCGATGGTTTTCCCCATGTGTTTCCACCTCAGCGCATCAGGAGCCCAACTCACACAAGCAAAGCTCCGCACAAGATGCAGCCTAAGAGGGAAGAAGGGGCAGAGCCCATCGCGTGTCCCATGGAGCTGTCGCCACAACAGGCACTTCCCTACCTGGCCAGGAGGCTCCTGCAGCAGCCCCAGACGTGTCCCTGCACGCCGGGGCTGAAACCTGAGGAACCGGCCCGTAACTGAATCCCCAAAGGGCAGGAGCCAGGAGCCGGCTGCTCCACGGGGAGCCTGCGGGGGCCGTATCCATCCCCCGGGAATGCGGCAGGAAGGGGCCAGGTGGGGACAAGGACCCCTTCGGAGGCGGACCCTGCCCGTGTGCCGCATGCTGACCCTCCGCAGCCCCCACGGCGCCGGTTTTGGGGGGCGGATAAACGCGATAACCTGGCTTCCAGCCACCGCAACCTGCCCCGACAGCACGCCGGCCTGCCCGACTCCCGCTCTGGAGCAGCGGCCGAGCCTGTCCGCGGCGTGTCCTATGGCAGCGGCTCCAAGGGGATGAGGGAGGGAGGGAGGACCCCATCTCCCCCCGCCCCACGGCGGCTCTGACCGCACCGCTCCCCACACCGGGGGAACCCCCTCCTCTGGCCCCACACACCCGGCCCAGGAGCCGGCCGGAGGGGGGGGTGGAACCGAGCTCCGCGGGCCGGGCCCGCTGAGCCCCTCCGGAGCCCCGCACCCTCCCCATGCCCATCCCCATCGCGGTGCTGCCGGGGCCTGCAGCCGCCACCCCCCCCCGTTACCTGCGGCCGGGCCCGGCCGATGCCGCTCCGGGCCGCGCTCCCTCCGCTGCCGCCGCTGCGCCCGCCCCGTGTGGCGGAGCCCCGCCCACCCGCCCCGCCCTACCAGGGACCGGCAACCCTATTGGTTGAACTCTTCACG